AAAAATAATACTTATAGAAGAAATTCACAATTAAATCCAAATTTGCCTTCACAAGTTAATAATTACTATGACAACTTCTTTTAAAGGCTTGGATAATGGCCAATATCACTTTTGAAGTAGTTGAAAATCCTTTTATTAAAAGTCTGTTTAAAGCACACTATCCTGCTTATATATGATCATCACGTACAACACTATCTGGATGGTTGTTAGATAAAGAGTTTGCACATATGCAAAATGCTATTAATGATGAGTTAGAAAATGTTGAGAATCTAACATTAAGTAAATGTGTTTTCTTATACAATTTTTGATTTTTAGCAAAGCTTTATTTATATAAGTTATGGCATAGTTTCTTGAAAGTTATTAACTACTTAGTATTGTTACTCTAAAAAATTTGACAATCTGATCAAATTAAATTCAAAACAGTTATAACAATTAAAATAAAAATACTTCAAACTATAACTCTAATATTAGCAGCAATTTTTTTTTAGATGTATAACTCGGATTTGCAAGTCTAGAATACGTAACAGGTTGATCAACAAAAATAAGAAAAATTTTTTTCTATCTTAAAACTTTGCCTATAAATCTGCTTTTAATGCTCCAAGAAAAAAAAATTTACTCATAATTCTGAATTAAGTTTTGGCTAAATCCTCTTTCTAACTCCTTCCAATTTAACCCTAACGATTAAAATTGATTTAATATTGGTGACGATGATCAATTAGAATAATCTGTCACACATTCCGTCTTGCCTCAGGTTTTAAGATTATTTCTTCTATTCGATATTATACAGTGTGACAATTTGCTAAAAATATAAACATGTAACTAATCAAACGCTAATTATAACCCTATGTAATATTAGGTAAATAGCCTATAAAGAATCTAACTTTTAAGAAATTAAACGATAATGATTTATATATTATCATTATTAATTAATTATAATTTTTTTATATATATACTGTAGTTCTTGATAGATAGATGTCAAAACATGGAGAATCTATTTATAATTACATTATTACAACAATGGAGCGAAAAGAATATTTGATCACGCCAAAAAATTATTCTTCAGAATCTCATATTGGCAATTTTTTGGCTTCAGAGATTTTGGATATTATCGAACAAATTGGGCCAAAAAAATTCTTAGCAGTTATCACAGATTCAGCCTCGAATTGTAGAGTCACAAAAGAAAAAGTACAACAAAAATATCCACATATCCTGAATATCCACTGTATTGCTCATGCTATCAATTTGATAGCTATGGACTTATCAAAGCATGTTGAAATAAAGAAATTTATTAGTCACTGTGGAAAATTAATAAAATTCTTTAATAAGTCATCCCAAAAATTAGCATTACTACGACAAGGACTTACAAATATGAAAATTAAATCTGAAGGTCTAGAATCATGGTGTCCAACTCGTTAGGGATCATTATACAATACTACAAACTCCATATTAATTGCACATTCTGTTTTTGATTAAGTATGTAGTTTTTTTTTAAAAAAAAATAAAGTTGCATATTAATTATAAATTATATGTATATGTTGTGTCCCAGATGAAAATCGGCCTAATTGTAAATTGGGACAACCCAGATTAAAATTTGGTTTTGGGCTATCAATGTTGCCCCATATACAAATCACAGATCATTGTATTAAAAGTTTATTAATAGGCAATAAAAATAAACAAATACTAATCACATGATTATCTGATAGAAATTTAATAAACATTTTTAAATATACTATAATTCTGTAATTTATATTAATTATTTATAACTAATATAAAAAATAATTTTTATTCTAATTATTTTTATATTTAGCATTATTTGGATGGCAACGAGTACTATATGTTGCACCCACCTTTTTACATTTACAATAGTTCTTTAAATAATCACCTTTACAAAGACATTTGGTTGCTGTTATAGACTCAGAGCTTTGCTGTATAGCAGCTTCACGGGCACTTACATAAGCATTAGAAATAACTACAAGTTCCGGAAATTCTCTAAAAGTTCCAGTAATTGGAACTAATTTAATAGCTAAATAATGCTCATTTAACCTTCCATACTGACATTCTAAAATGTACATATTATACTCAGTAATTTCCAACACTTTACAAGGTATATATCATCAGTCAATACCAGCACGATCAATTTCAGAAATTCGAATCTGAACTAAATCATTTTGTTCAAATTAGCGTGGACGCTTCTTTCTTTTTTCTATTTGTACCATCATTTGTTCTGTATAAACTTTCAAATGATTCATAGCTTCGGCTTCTAAGATGTTTTGAGTCATATATAAGGATGAAAATGGCATGAACTTAGATTCTTTTTTTTTTTTTAAAAAAAAAAATTAGTACTTATTATTAAATATTTTTGCCATTTACTTTGATTTTTATTAATCGAATACTTACCATTCTCGTGGTCATATTACCTAACAACAACCTCTAAAGTTGAAATAAAATTATTTAAATTTAAGATAAAAAAGAATAATAAGTAAAAATAAATAAATAAATAAATAAATAAATAAATAAATAAAATAAAAATAAAATAAAAAAAATTGCAAAAAAAATATCAGATTCTATACTTAAATGTTTAAATTATACTTGCCACATTTTTTATAGCACTAGGTAAAGGTAGCAAAACCTACAATTTCAAGATAAGTTTTTATTTTTCAATTAAAGTATTTTTTTCTTAATTATTACTTATCATGTTTACTACTTTATTAGGTGGTGGTGGTGGCGACGGCAGCGGTGGTGCAGAAACCTAAAATTAAAAGATAAGTGTAAACTTTTCTTCTTCTTCTTATTATTTATAACAAATACTTACAACATTTAATACCACATTATGTGGTGGCAAAGGTGAGATCTAAAATTTCAATTTGTGCTCAATTAATTTTTCAAAACAAAGTTTGTATTTATCATCGCGGATGATGCTGAAATTTGAGGTGTTCAATCTGAAAATATAAGCACTACCAAAATCCACTCATATCCTTTTATTAATAACTCTAAATCCTAACTTAACCATAAAAAAAAAAGCTAGCAAAAAGGCAACAAAAATTTTAAAAATGGTACATTAAATAAATTAAAATTTCAGCATCATCTGTAGCATTTATTATTTATTCATTACCACATTCTCATTCGACGAAAGCAACAGTGAAAACTAAAATTTTAAAGATAAGTATAATTGACATCTCAAATTTAGGTATTGACAATTTAATTTATATTTACCACACTCTTATTAGGCGATAGCAGCGGCGAAACCTACATTTTCAAAAAAAAAAAGTATAGATGGTAAGTATAAAAGTTATCTCTTATCTGAAACATTATTTCTTAGTAATATTTACCATATCTTTAATAGGTGGCAACAGCGGTGAAACCTGAAAGTATGAAGAATAGTATATTAAGTTATTTTTAAATTGAAATAATCATTTGTGGTTTGGTATTTACTACATTCTTGTTATATGATGGCGATGACGAACCCTAAAATTTCAAAGACATGTAAGTCGTCATTTTAATTAAATACCCAGTTCTTATTCAATATATACCATATTTTCTACAATATTATATGGCAATGGCAGCGGCAAGATCTAAGATTATGAAAAGTATGAATATTATTTTCAATTGTAGGTACCATTTTCTAAATCAAAACTTACCATATTTTCTCACACATTAGATGGCAACGAATTCTAAAAAATTTTAGAAATAAGTATGAATAATTTCACAATTAATGTTAATTTCAGTAATCATTTCTTATTATACTTACGTTGGGTAACAACTGCGGCAAAATCTACAATTTTTGGATAAGTATGAATATTTATTTTTAATTAAGCGTATCGTTTCATATTCAATACTTACCATATTTTTCATTATATTAGGCGGGGCGATAACAAATCCTGAATTTTTTTTTTCGGCAAAGTAAGAACAATTTCACATTTTAATACCTAACTACAATTATACACACTTTAATTCTTATGCTTACCATCATATTAGGCAGCGATGATGACGATGAACTCTGATTTTTGTTTTTATGTTGAAGAACAATTTCACATTTTAATACCTAATTATAATTATATATACTTTAATTCTAATACTTACCATCATATTAGGTAACAGCAATGATGACGAACCCTAATTTTTGTTTTTATGTTGAAGTAAGAACAATTTCACATTTTAATATCTAATTATAATTATACATACTAATTCTAATATTTACCATCATATTAGGTAGCAGCGACGACGACGAACCCTGATTTTTGTTTTTATGTTGAAGTAAGAACAATTTTATATTTTAATACTTAATTACAATTATACACACTTTAATTCTAATACTTACCATTATATTAGGTGGCGGTGGCGGTGACGAATCCTAATTTTTGTTTTTATATTGAGATAAGAACAATTTCACATTTTAATGCTTAATTACAATTATGCATACTTTAATTCTAATACTTACCATTATATTAGGTGGTGACAGTGACAACGAATCCTAATTTTTGTTTTTATATTGAGATAAGAACAATTTCATATTTTAATGCTTAATTACAATTATGTACACTTTAATTCTAATACTTACTATCATGTTATGAGGCAGTGGTGGACACGAATCTTAATTTTATTTTAATTTTTTTTTTGAAATAAGAACGATTTCACATTTTAATATTAACTATACCTTAATTTTAATATTTACCATCATATCAGGCGGCATCAGCAAAAATGAATTCTGTTTTTTATGTTTTTTTTTTTTGAATAATTCATATTTTAATACTTAGTTATAATTATATATTCTTTTAACTATAGTATTTACTATCATATTAGGCGGCGATGATAATAAATTCTAATAAATTTAACCAATTTTACAGTTTAGAATTTAAGTATTTTCAATTTTCAATGCTTAATACTTACTGTATACTGCAGAATACTGTTAGATGGTGGGAAATTCTAAAAACCGGATAAGTCTTAAGAATTTTTAATATTTATCAATTCCTATTTCTAAATAAAATAAATACTTATCACAATGAAAGACATACTATCTTCGTCATTGTTCTCGCTTTGTAATAGATTCTGAATTGAATTTTCATTAAATTCATCATTATTTTCATTTTTTTCATCATCATCAACCTGAATACTATCATCATTATCATTAAATTGAATATTATAATAATCTTCAATCTGAATGTCATCAGGAATGTTTTCTTCATATCGAATTCCCTGAGACCAAAGCTGGTCAAGGAGAACATAATTGCCACAGGGCTCATGACCAAAAACTAACTCAAATGGTCTTTTATTGGTAGCACAGCATACAGATAAATTCATTGAATGAACTATTGTTGCCAAACCAACCATCTAATATAAATTTTTATTTTCATTTTGTTAATCTTCAAGCTATTTTCCAAGTTTATCTTTTAATATATAGTTTGCCCTTTCAACTGAGCCTTGAGTTTGCGGCCTCTGCGGCTTTCTATAAATGATTTTAAAACTTGGCCAAAGCTTGGTAAGATTATTAATGATCTCCGCAGTGAACTCACACCCATTATCACTATGCAAAAAGATCAGTGAACCAAATATAGTAAATATGTCAAATAAAAATATAGCTACTTTAGCTGCATACTTATCTGTAAAAACGTGGGCCTAAGAAAAGCAGGTGAAGTGATCCCTGGCATGTGCTATCCATTTAAATTCACTATCCCTTCTTGTTCGCATATCTATAAGATTGATCTAAAAAAAAAAAAAAAAAGTAAAAAAAAACAAAAAATTAACTAAATAAAAAAAATTAATTTAAACTATAATTTACATTTTATATATACCTGAAGTCATTGCATAAAAAATTTACTAATGATAGGTTTTATATCTAAAGGTTTGATAGATAATCTGCGTGTTTTATATGTTTTATATTTTTCAACAAATTTGTCGACCAAACACCTTTTTATGCCATGATATTTATCCGATACTTGTTTATAAGTAGCTTTAGCACCCCCATATCCAATAGCCAGATGTTCTTCTGCAATAATATAGTATAATCTCTCTTTTAAAGCTACAGGCTTCCAAATATCTGGTTTTTCTTTATATATTAATATCATAATTCTACCGATTATTTGATATAAATAGTTATTTTTGACATGGTGGCGTAAACTAGGGTTTGCAATAGAAGTATCTTTAGGCTTATTTAAAATCTGTAAATATTTATTAGCCATATTCTCTGTAATTAATGCTTTTAATTTTTTTTCTCATTTAAGGATAGTAAATATTCATCTATAATATCGATAAATATTTGAAATGCTAAAAAGGAACATTCGTTGAGTGAAGCCATCAAAAATTTAAAAGTAAAAAAAAAAATTCTATCGCTATTCATTGTATTACTGAAATTGCAAAATTAATTCTTTGCAATCTTGTTCAGAATGCAAAGAATTTTTTTATAAAGTAGAGGCAGTTATAGCAGCATCACGAAATGCTTCATTTTTAAGCCCTGCTCCTAAAAAATAAATAATTAATTAATATATATATTATTAAGAATATTGCTAATTTTAACTGGGGGGGAAATCACCAGTATGTAATTAGCCAATAAAATTGCAGAATCAGGTGTAACATATAAATTAATTTTGTATAACAAAAACAAAGAATTTTTTAAAAAATCGCAAATATCTCAAAAATTCGCTTATGAAACCCCTCTTGGGTTCTAACAAAAAAAATTTCTTGCAAAATTTTGCATATAACCTATGTCATGCCCTAACCCTAATCATAGGCTACGACCTTACCCTAAACTAAAAGAGGTTTTAATTTAATACTGATCTATATGTTACATATACTAATACCAGTGATTTTCCCTCCGGTTAATCATAGTTATTTTCTATTATTAAAACTAACACTATATAATGATTGATATTAAATGAATATCATAATATAGAGGATGTAGATAGTAACATAGTAAATAATATGGATTCTGAAATTCCTTGTAATGTTTGTTGAAGACTTGAATTGCAACATGTTTAAATGAGATTGATGCAAGAATTTGATAGATTACAATTGCTAATTTAATCATATAAATATAGCAATCAGATAATGATGCTGAACAACTTTCCAAAACATTTATGCAGGTTTTAATTCGTT